GTTGATCCAAATCATCCTGGTTATGTTTGCAAATTATCCAAGGCATTATATAGCTTGAAACAGGCCCCTCGTGGCTAGTCTGATAAACTCAAATTTGCCTTACTCAAATGGGGTTTTTGGAATGCAGTATCTGACACCAGTCTGTTTTATTTCTCAGACTCTACTCATGTTATCTATCTGGTGATCTATGTGGATGATATCTTGGTCACTAGTGATGATCCTCAACTCATTTCTCAGCTTATCTCATATTTGAATGGTAAGTTTTCCCTTAAAACTCTTGGTTCTCTAAGTTATTTTTTTGGGCATTGAGGCTTACCGTGATGAGTCAGGCCTTTATCTGACTCAAGCCAAATATATTAAGGATTTAGTTTGCAAAACTAACCTCTCTGAAGCTCATGATTGTCCTACTCCCATGGTCTCTCATTGTAAGTTGGCTTTGAATAACAGTGAGTTATTTAGTAAGCCTTCTTTGTATCACAACACCATTGGCTCTCTTCAGTACCTCACCATTACTAGGCCTGATATTGCCTTCACTGTCAACAAGTTGAGTCAGTATTTACAGGCTCCTATGGTTGTACACTGGCAAGCTTGTAAACATCTAATTCGTTACCTTAAAGGTTCTCTTCACTTTGGCATACATCTCTAGGCTGCTATTCCTCTTATGATTGAAGGATATTCTAATGCAGATTGGGCTAGTAATCTTGATGATCGTCGCTCTACTAGCGGTATTGTATTTACCTTGGTGGAAATCTAGTTCAATGGAGCTCTAAAAAGCAACATGTTGTTGCTCACTCCTCTGCTGAATCTGAATATCACTCCTTTGCTCAAATGGCTACTAAAGTCCTTTGGCTGCAACAATTTTTTCAGGAGCTTGGTGTTTCGTTAATGCATTCCACACAAGTTCTCTGGTGTGATAATTTCAGCGTTGCCTCACTTGCTTCTAATCCTATTCAACATGCTTGCACCAAACATATTGAGATTGATCTTCATTTTATTTGCAAAAAGATTGCCTCAAAAGCCTTAGCAGTTCAGTATATTTCTTCCGTTCATCAACTTGCTGATATCTTTACTAAGCCTCTGCCCATTACTCAATTTGGTCTTTTTCACAACAAGCTCATCAAGGCTTCTTCTTTGTTTCGCATGAGGGAGGATGATGACTAGTTGAATGAAGTTGCATTGCTGCCTGCATTTCTTTTTTTTTTTTTTTTGGTTGAATAATGTTGAGTAAGTTCTGCTGCATTTTTCTGGACCACTACTGCAGTATTCTTCTTGAAGATGTTTGTTGGTTTGCACTATTGCATGTTTCTAGATGTTTGTTGTTTTGCACTATTGCATTTTTCTAGACTGATACTGTTGTATTCTTCTGGAAGATGTGTGTTGTTTTGCGTTGTTGTTTGCTGTTGTACTTTCTGCATTTCTTTCTGCCATTGCATCTGTTCTCTGGAAGTTGTGTTCTGAATGAAGCTTCTACTCTATGGGTTTCTACTACATCAGTTTTGCTTTACTCTGTTAAGCAAGCTAAGACAAGGTTTTGCTTTGCTTGAGAGAGGATGTCAAATGATGAATTGACTTCAAAGTCAAAGACTAACTAGAGTTAGTTTTGTAATTGCAGTTAGTTAATCATAGTCAAAGAAATTTGTATAAAAGGCAACACTCTGCCTATTTTCATTAAGTGAAAAGATTAATAAAATCTTTCTCTTCATAACAGAATTTTATTTCCTTTATAGAAGAGGTCTTTGAACAACACAATATTAATGAAAATGAAAATGACAAGTTTGAATTAATTGAGAATCAAAAATAACAAGACTTTAGTGAGCAGTTTTATGTAGCTTGTATATATTTTGAGTGAATCTAAAAAGCAAAGAAAGAAATCAAAGAAAAAGTATAGTTAGGAAGAAGAAGAGAAATAGTAAGAGAAGAGACAAGTGAGATAAAAACAAAAAACTAAAGATGGATAGAATTAAAGTCTCTAAATGTGGTCTGCATTGTGGAATAAAGGCATGGATAATAAAGAATAAAGTGATTTCCACAATAATTTAATAAAGTCAGAATTTAATTAATTAATATTACTATTCTGTTTGTCTCTTCTTCTTCATTTTTTTTTTTTTTTTTTTTTTTTTTTTAGAGTTGTCTGGACCAACTTAAGCGTACCTCAACCAATCTCTAGGATCTAATGAACACTCCACAAGCCCAATAGATCAAATAAGCCACAAATGTGATAGATGACCAATTGGTAAGGCTCGAACACAAAACTTTTAGGTAGCCTAAGGTTTTGTCATCCGGCCACAAGCCAAGTGGTTTTTATCTCTCTCTTTCTCCTTATGTAAAAAATTGTGAAAAGAAAACAAAATTTAATAAAAATGGGCATATTATACATTTTGTTTCTTTCTCTTTTTCTTTTTTCAAATCATTGTTCTACAAAGTAAACTTGTTAATATTAGATTAATTGGATTATCATTTTGATAATGAGAGACAATAATAAACCATACTGATAAAAGTAACTATTTCGGACTTAGTTTAAACAAGAATATTATATATTATAAGTTTTTTTTTTTTTTTTATGTAAAAGCAATGAAATTAAAATCATTAATTTACTATGTGACTGAATCTTTCACACTGTTTGGTTAGAAAAGTTGAACTATTCCTTCCCTTTCTTTTCTCCCTCTCTCTCCATTCTTGCATGTGATGATCTGAGTATATGTAGGGAAATCTCTATTGACACCTCATTTGTTTAGGATAGGAAAATCAAATCCCATATATTTAAGAACCTAACAATAGTACCCAAATGCGAAAATGATGCCCACAACTGTCAATAAGTTTATGGAAATATCTTCAATGAAATGGGGACACATGAATGCAGGTTACATTATGGTGCATGACCTGCAGACATTAGATGATTCAATGGATACACATGTGTTCATCCAACTGAAGACTTCCTCTAATTTTATGACTTTTGAGAATATCGTTATTGGTTTTAAAATTTGAGACGAGCGTACATCCATGCACGCCATATTTGCAAACATGGTTTGCAAGTACTAGATGATTAAATGAATACAAATGTGCTCATTCAACTAAAGAGATGGAAATTTCTACAGTTTCATAACTTTGGGGATGAGTGTACATGCATGAAATACATATCTACACAACGGTTTACAAGCACTAAGTGATTGAATTGATACACACGCATTACGGTTGTCATTGTTAGTTTTCAAAATTTGGGGGAGTTAATTCTTTAAACCAAAATTGAAGGTTGTAAATATAATTTCTTCAATTTTATAGAAATATAGTGTTATATTATATATGTGGTTGTCTTAGTATTCCAAAAGGAACATCATTGTCAAATTAAGTAAGCCTATTGATGATGAAACAACACACACAGATGAATGCAGAAGAGTTGTCCAAAAACATGAAGTTTATAATTTCAAAACTATTGAACACTCTTCTGCAAAACCATGATTAGTTTTTCCCTCATCAGTAAGTCTGGTGCTTCAAGGAAAGAACCCACCACCCAATCTTTTCTATTCTCGGCCAAAACCCTTATAATTATTAATTACTACGCATCACTCCTCCCTCACCCTCACCTCCCTTTCTTTCAAATTCATATTAATTTCTCTTTCTTTCTTCATAAATCAATGAAGATTTTGAAATATTCAAAAACCCTAGTTTTTTAGTACCATTCACAAGAGAAGCATGGCATCCCTTAACTCCATATAATAAATTTCAAGCTTAATTATATAATCTTATTATTAATGCTAATTAAGAAGCAAATGATCAAGTTGTTGAACAATAATTTCAGTCAATTAAAATCAATATATTAACCAAACTTGAGAGATAGAGAGAGTTGGATCATATCTTTGTTCGCAATAAATGTCAACTCAAATGTTGGAAATAAAATAGAATAACATATATCCTAACAATATCCCAAGATCATAGTCACCATTGCAATCACATTTATACATAAATGAACTACAATGAATTAACACAGCATTAATACCTCCTTTCCTTATCTCTGAAGCAACAAGTAATCTGGAAGAAAAACCACAAATCGTATTTCTGTTTTCCAAATTCTAGAGAGAGAGAGCGTATATTCTTTTTGCGTTTTTGAGAGTGACAGTATTAGTAACTCAAAGAAAGAATTTTTCTTTTATAAGTAGCGATTAGAGAGAAACTGCATTTGGCAGTTTCATCTCACACACGTTGCTTGGGGTAACCCATCATGGGTGTACCCTTATCCAATATCTCCCACTCACACATGATGGGACTATCTCTCTCTATGCTTCTTTAAGGTTCATACCTTAGTAAATATGCCGTGTGACCATGCATACTTCGAGAGCACATTAGTCATATATCTGTTAGAAATATATAACTTCTCGAATTGAGAAACTCAGGTTGTATGTTGTATGCAATACCCTAGATTACTTATCACATTTTTCTAACAATCTCATTTACAAAAAAANTGGGAGAGAGAATGGTTTGGTTCTGGGAGTCGAATCATCATTACAACCAGAAATAAACATTTGCTATCCCATCTAACTGAAAACATATATGATGTTAATGGACTGACTTTCCATGAATCTCTTCGGCTGTTTCATTTGAATGCCTTTAAAACCTCACAACCCACAAATGATCTTCTTGAGCTCTCGCGACAGGTGGTGAATTACACGAACGGACTTCCATTAGCTATTGCAGTTTTGGGATCCCATTTGTGTGGTAGAAGTGGTGTTGAGGTATGGAAGAGTACCTTGGATAGACTACAACAATTTCCAAATAGAGAAATTTTGGAATCACTCAGAATAAGTTATGATGGACTAGAGGATGTGAACAAGAAAATATTCTTAGATATAGCATGTTTCTTCAAAGGAGAGGAAAAAGATCGAGTTATTGAGATACTAAATAGTTGCAATTTTTATGCAAATATTGGAATGGAAGAACTCATTGATAAATCTTTGATAATTATTACTTCAGAAAACCGATTATGGATGCATCAGTTATTACAAGAAATGGGCTGGGAGATTGTTCGAGAACAACACCGTAATGAGCCTGGCAAATGGAGTAGGTTATGGGTATATGAGGATATCTACAAAGTTTTGACAAAAATAAAGGTAAGATTTTTTTAAATACAAACACATACATATATACATTATTATTTCACTAAAATCAATATCATTAATGACAGTTCAAGTTGGTAACGTCTCTCTATATTAACTATGTATTAGTTTTTTCTTTCTTGTTTATTAGGGAACAGAAGCAATTGAAGGTATAGTGGTTGATGTAACTCATTCGAGAGATATTCATGAACGAGGAATCATGGGCCTGCATGGTAAATCTTTTTCAGCCATGACCAATTTAAGGTTACTCAGCATCAGTAATGTTCACCTTTCCGAGAACCTCGAATATCTCTCAAGTGAGTTACGTATTTTCGAATGGAATGGATACCCTTTAAAGTCCTTGCCCTTATGTTTCCACACGGAGAATCTCTTTGAACTAATTATGTGCAACAGCTGCATTGAATATCTTTGGGAGGGCATGAAGGTATTATTTCTTTATTCATTATTACTTTTATTACAACGTATGTGAAGTCCTTGCAATCGAGTTATTTTCTTGACTTTATTCTGTTTCTTACAGTCCTTTTTGAAGTTGAAAACCATTAATCTCAGTCATTCCTGCAACCTGATAACAACTCCAGACTTTACTGGGGTTCCAAATCTTGAGACGCTAGATCTTGAAGGCTGTACGAAATTGCGTGAGGTTCACCCATCTGTTGCAGTTCTCACAAAGCTAACTGTATTTGTCTTGAAGGATTGTAGAAATCTTTCTAGTTTTCCAAGCGATATCCATGGTTTGAAGTCTCTCAAGATTCTTAATCTCTGTGGCTGCTTAAAATTAGACAAGCTGCCTGAAAACATAGGGGAAGCTGAATGTTTGGTAGAACTAGATATAAGTAGGACGGCAATAAGACAAGTATCATCCTCCATAGTACAATTGAAAAGGCTCGACAAACTCTCTCTTCATGGATGTAATGGACAACGACCCGAAACCTGGTTCACTTTCTTCTTGTCATTGTTGTTACCGAACAAAAATCCAGATTCCATGTGTTTGTTGATGCCACCTCTCTCAGGTTTAATTACTCTCAAAAAATTAAATCTTAGTGACTGTGATCTTTTGCATATCCCCAATGATATTGGCTCCTTATGCTCGTTGGAGGTACTGAATTTAAACAGAAACAACTTTGATACCTTGCCTCCAAGCATCAATCAACTTATGAAACTTGATGTTCTTCGCGTGCAAAGTTGCAAGAAGCTTCAGTTATTGCCAGAGCTTCCACCAGCAATAGGTGCTCTTTACGCAGATGATTGTACTTCACTTGAAAGAATATCGCCACCAGAACAGAGCACTTCCTCATATACTTTCCTGGCTTTTGATAATTGCTTCAAACTGGTTGAGAGTTACGGCAGCCACTTGGCAATTATGATGCTGAAACTTTGGCTCCAGGTTCTCCTTCTTTATCTCTCTTGTGAGTCTGTGAATTGATTAATATGAGTAGCATATATGTTGATATAGTCTTAGTTAGGGCCTAGGGGTGAGACGGGGCCAGGGATCCCATACTCTGTCCCCGTCTTGCCCAACTCGGATTACGGGGATTTTGCAGGGAAAAATTACCGACGATACGGGGAAAATGCCCATCTCTATAATTATAACCAACAAACTCAAATTAAATACAAAATTACCCTTTGAAAAATGTTTTTGACAACGCAAAATTGTCGTTTGAAAAATGTTTTTGACATTTTTTTTAAGCTATTAATGATTCATGTGGCTTAAAATGTGCTCAATGGCGGTTAGTTAAATTTCTAAATTACCAAATTCAATAATTTGTTGGTTAATAGAGTAAGTTAACAAGTTGCAGAGGACAATTGGTCTTTTCTATCCCTTCAGTTGATCTTTTCTCTTCGATAAATTGTTCTTTTTCGTCTTACATGATATTTCTTCAAAAATATAAAAAAACAATCCATATGTATGGAATCACTTTTCCACTTCCCTTGGAGTTGAATTAACCGCACGAAGCAGCATAAGTTTCCCTTCTCTTTCAATTTACTTCACTTCTTTCTTTCTCTTCTTTTATCTTCTTTCTCCTCCTTAGGGGGGGAGGGAGGGAGGGGATTGTTGGGCGTTACTTTTTCATTTTCATGGAAGCAATGATATCCATGTGATTAATTGTGAAAGATAGGGATAGAATGTAATTAATTTTTTTAATATGACTTTTTAAAAAGGGTCAACTAAGGGCCTATTTGTTCTATGTTCTTAAGTTTGAATGTAATTAATTTTAGTGGATTAAGATATCAAAATATAAAAACATCTTAATCAATAAAAACCTTATGTCAACAGTACCCTTATTAGTTTTATATGATTCCAATTTTGACAAACTCTTATGCATTATGTATTTTTCGTATTATTTTAATTTTTATTGTTATAATAAATTTTAAAAATTACATCAAACAATATAATAACATAATTATCTTTAATTTATATATTTTTTTATTTTATTTTCATATATTTGATAATTTAAATTTGTTTAAAAGATGTAAAATATGAAACTATATTATAATTTATAAGGACATATATGTCAAAACACTAGTTTTAAGATCCTTACACTATATTAAAACATACAATTTAATATTTATAATCATACATTGAAAAAAAAAAAAAAAAGCATGTTGATCAAACTTGTACATTCAGACTTCAGACTAAAACAAATGTCACCTAAGTAAATTTATCTACTTTTAAATCCGTTTGCTACAGTATTGTTTCACAATTTTTTTTTTTTTTTCAAATAAATTTGTTTTGACCTGTTCTTAAATAGAATATTTGGGGTTCAAATAGTGTGTGCTTTTCTTGAGAGCAAGAAAGCAAGGTATGATTTCTTTTGTAAGAATGTTTTGCACTTGAAAAATTAAATTTGAGGAATAATACTTTTATTGATTGAAAAACCCAATACAAGAACTTTTAGAATTTTTCAGGTTTATTTTGCTTTACTAACTTGACTCTATTTGTTTTTGATATATTTATTTTCAAACAATAAAAAGATATTTATAGGCATTTGACTCTAGATGCATTAGTTTCCTTGTTACATCAGTCTCAGGACTAGACCTTGTAATCTTTCTAGCCCAAGTGTGATTCTTTTGGGCTTAGATAACGAATTACTTTCCAACAGCTTTTTTAAGTCTTTTGCTTATACATTATTACTTAGGGTCCTTATTATTGCAAACACGATCTCATGTTACAGATACACTCTCCTGGAGCTCGTCCCTTTATCTCTCCTGGAGCTCGTCCCTTTATCTTTCGTGGAGCTCGTCCCTTTATCTCTCATGGAGCTCATCCCTTTATCATGTATCTTCCGGGAAGTAAAATTCCAAAGTGGTTCATTCATAAGAGTAATACTCCTTCAATAAAAATCGGATTGCCTCCACATTGGCTCAATAATAAACTCATGGGAATTGCATTCGCCGAAGTATTTGATATCTCTGATTTGGTTTATTGTTACAAATATGACCTACATTTTGATAAAGGTTCTTTACATTCCCTTTTCCTCCTCCCTCATGATGTCCGCAAGTCTGATCATGTTTTGCTGTGGTTTTTCTTACGTGAGCAACTTGACGAAGCAAGTTTCGAAATAAGTGATTCTACATATGTTCACGCTAAAATTAGAATTAAAAATGGAAATCCTAAGGTGAAAAGCTTTGGGATTCATCTATTGTACAAAGAAGATCTGGAATATTTTGATCGTCATCATTTGGAGGAACCACCCCAGGTGTAGAAGGCAGTGGAAGGATCAAGATCCAGGAGATGCATCATCTCTAATTATGAGGAGCCAATCTCCAAGGGACTAAAATCTTCCAATTTCAGTATGGGTGAATCCAGCATGAGGTAAAGAATATATTTTACCTTTCGCTTTGCTTAGTGAATTCTATGGTTTTTGTGACCTAAATGGATATTTTTCTCTTTAATTTTCTGAATGATTATATATTTGGTTCAAATATCATTTAATCTATGTGTTTATATGACTTGGGAAATCTAAGGTCCATAGAGTAAAATTCAAGTAGATGTAATGCATTATTCATATTAAAAAGATAATAAAAAGATAATAAATCTCAATCAGACATTGCTATTGTTATTGATTTGATGCTGACAATATGACAGGCTTAGATGTTTCGATTACTCAAACTAAGAGAAAATATTAAATTTAACTAAATATTAATGATAATAATACATTATTCGTTAATGTTATGGTGATTTTTTTATGTATTGTCATTGTCATTCTTTTATTTTGTATAATTCTCAATTTTCTCTGTTATGGTGATTATCTTTCTTTTAGTCGCAATTTTAACTAGCAAATTATAATTAAAATGCTTAATATTCATTTGCATTTAAATTTGTATATTTACTTGTGTTATAGTTGAAATCAAGAGGAAAAATCTTTCTGGTCATTATTATCAAAGAGAAAACATTTTTCTATATCAAATAACATGGATTTCAAATTATTTATCAAATTTAAAACTTTTAATTATTATAAAACTTTTAATTTGCATCTTTTATGTAATTTGAATTTATATACAAATTAATTGAGTCTCTCTAGATAATTCATAATATTCGTACTTGACTATGTGCACTAAAAGAAAAAAAGAAAAAACTAATTTGCCTTAATTAATTGAAAATTTGTGTTCTATTAATTATACTTAGGCCACAAATGGTATGCTTATAGTACTAAATAATCCAATACATATGGTATGGTCAAATTTTTGCATTGTATTTACTAATTGAAAGTATATGTAGTTAATATACATAAACCAATGCAATGTGGAAAGGTGAATTTAGGTTATGTTATATTATTTAGCAAATCTCATATTTTATCCTCTTAATTAATTAGTTAATTAATATTATTTAAAGTTTTTTGGAAAAATAATAAAAACTAATTAGTACAATACAAAACAACAAACCAAACGTGCCGCTACTATGTACTGAAGTTCTATTAGAAAACATTATATATTGTGTATTTCTAAATTAATTGTCAGAGAAATTTAATTTTTGTTTTGACTTATGCAAAAATGTGTCATCAAAATGTACTCATATGAAGACTACAGAGTTGATTCTGATCCTTTTCTTTCTTTTTCTAATGTACGGTTTCGAAATTTTGAATATGGGAAAGATCTTGTAATTTACAATAAAGCAATCTTGTTAGTGTAAATATAAAGATCTTGTAATTTACAATAAAGCAATCTTGTTAGTGTAAATATACACAGTTGGCTATATATATATATATATANCTAGATATATAATTAATAACAAGTGCGTTTGTAATACATGTTTTAGCCATAAGCAATGTATGAGATTCAAATGCCATAAATCATGGCAATTTCACCGCGTACATGTAGATTTTCTCACATCAATTTTGGTGACCTCGATAGTAGCTCATATGACAATTGCTTTGTCAAATTATTTCAATTATCTCATCATCTAGGGAGAGAGTTGTCAAATCAACCACCACATAGGTTTAGTGTATAGACAGAATTGAAACTTAGAATAAAAGACCAAAACAAAAAATTTAAAACTTGTAAATCTTTATCCTAATTGTCTTCTCTAATAATTTTTATATTTTGTACATTTGTATTTTCAAGATAAGAAAGAGTGATTTGAAAGATAAAAAAACTAATTACGTTGCATGGCTCTTATCTATAATTATCAATTATCATTACATATGTGTGTGTGTGCGCGTGCGCGCGCTTGCATGTGTTAATTTCACAATTATTATAATGGTTTTATGATATAATATTCTTTTAAAATGCGCTATATATATTAATAAACATATAGAAGAAAAATATTATTATTAATATTTGTGTGTGTGTGTGTATGTGTTAATTGGGTGACTGCTTCTTTTTAAAAGCCTTAAAAAGAATTCTATAGAGCAAATGGTAGAGATAATACCAAGAAGCTTGGGTGAAGTTTCTTGGTGATTATTTAATTAAAAAATGCTTTCACATATTGATTGTTGGAAAGCTAACAAAAAATTCTACTGTCAGTGATGAAGAAAAGCAAGAAAAAAAAGAAAAGCTAAAGCTGAAGTTATAAATTTATAATTGCATTTCTTGACTAATTATCATCAGCAGAACTTTAAAAGATAATTGTCGTTAATCTAATCTATTATCTAACACACCAAATTTGACTAAAAAAAAAAAAACTTTTTTTTATCTGATGAAAACAAGAATTAGATATAATAAATATAAAAAACCAAAAAGTAATTTCACAAAAAATATTTTTTATCCAACAAAATTAAAATAATAAGTACTTTAATCAGAGAAAAGAAAATTTTAATTTAAAAATATTTTTAACGACATATAATAATTAAAAATAATGATATAACAAATGCAAAGACTGACTCATCCTAGATCGAAATTCAAGCGAACGACTCTGGGTAATGGTTCTGCATTTCTTGCTCTGTCTCCCATGTAGCTTCTTGAACTTTATGATTTCTCTAGAGGACTTTCACTAAAGGAATACTCTTGTTCCAGAGCTCTTTAATTTTTCTAATTAATTAAATTGTCAACAAGGATAATGTTAAAAGGTTTATTTCTAAAAATTTATTTCAATTAGAGTTAAATAAAGTTTATGTAAATGCTAAAATTTATAATCGAGTTGAAGAATGAATCATGTGAAGCGAGCCACTGACGACCTTGGTGGACCTACGGGATGCCTCCTAGCGTCTCTCAGGGAGTCCAAGCAATGCCAAGAGATTGAAGTAGGTTATGGATTCGGCGATGTGGGTAGTATGGTTTTTTGATGATCCCTTTTACGATGGGCTGACCTTAGCTTATATATGAACAACGGGGGCTTGAATCCTAGTAGGACTCTGAGTCCTATTTGGTAAGGGGACTCTCTTTTTGGGAAGAGATTAGATTCTTTGCCTATCTGTCGAGGTTTTGTCAGTAGAGGAGTTTGGTTAGGATTTTGATCCTCGTTATGGACTACTGTGGGCGAATGAGCTGGACCTAGTTCAGCTTAACTAAGGGGATGACCCAACTCATAGAGCAAACAGTTCCCAAGGTGTTCTTAGTGTGGGCCCAATCGCGATTAGGCCAAGGCTTTGGGCCGTCATTCATTATTGTTGCGATTGGACCTCGTTAGGTCCAATACGAATTTTGGCTCATATAGTTTATTACTTTAGATCATTTCTAAAGTATGTCTTGAATCATATGTACAGTAATATTTGTCGTAGGACTTACTTCAGAGACAAGATTGAACTTTGCTATTTACATGATTTTGCTCTCATCCTACTCCTACAAAATTATTTATTTTTATTATCATATTTTACTATCCATTCCTATGTTTGCGTGGTGTTAACGTGCCTTCTTTTCTATTGGTCCACATCTATCTCCACTTTGGCTTGCATCGCCGTAGATTTGAATCGGTGATCGTCGGATGATGATGAACACTGGTCATGGAACGTTGAGTAAGGTTTCAAAAAGGTTCTTTTCTTTTTGATTTTTGCATCCCTAGTTTCAAAGTCGTTGAGTCCCATCATATTGTGCTTTGCTTTTGTTCGTAAGGCAATTAATGAACGATTTTTTGAAATAACTGATTTTGCATATGTTGATGCTACTTTCGTGCTATGACTGGCAAGAATACTATATTGAAAGTTGTGGGATTCATCTATGTACAAAGAAATTTGGAATATTTTGATCTTCATCATTTGGAGGAACTACCCCAGTGAAACTATGATGAAAGACTACAACCTCGACCAAACCTATGATGAGACTCCAAGCACAACTTAGATAAAGTAATAATACAAGGGGTTTCTTTTGTTCTTTCCACAGGGTTGCAACATCAACAAATTGTACATAGAACTCCAATTCTTTTTCGTATCGTATTAAGAGCAACGTAGGCTTGAGAATTATTACTTTGTCAATTGTTACAGACTCTTTTACATAAGAGCAAAGAGTAAAACAGCTTACTATGAAATAATTATATAACTGACTTCTAACAGCTTTAAAAAAACGACATCGTTCATCAATATTACAACGGAATCATATTAGTTTGATAACTGACAAACTAACCCTTTGACACTACTAACATTCCCGCTAAAACTAGACAGGTAACTCTTTCTTTGTCAGCTTTACATTTCCTTCAGCATAGTTAATCTGAACTTGCTCATTTGCTTCAGTACTTCATTAACTCTGTGATTGACCATCGTACACCAGAAACATCAATCTTATATCAGCAAAATCAAATTTCTCAACAGCGAGACTAATCTTCATACTGCACCAAAACTAATCTTCAATACTGCAAGCAAAAACTAATCTTCAATTCTGCTCAAAGTAGCAAACAAACTTCAATTCTGCAAGCAAGACTAATCTTCAGTTTCATCTCAAACCAGCAAACTGACTTTATTTCACTAATCTCAAATTAGCAACTTGGCTTCAATATTTCTGCATTCAGCTTCCTTAACTAAGCAAACTAACTTCAAGTTACTCATCTCAAAACATCTTCCCAACTCTGACTTCAATATCTTCAATTTTCTACTCAAATCATCAAACTAATCATTCTGTAAACAAAACCAACTTTTAATCACTTCAATTCATTCCTCTTTGCTGATGACATTTAACTTGCTTCTCCCTAAATAATTAAGCAACAGATAATGCTTTAGTTAGAAGACACTTTTGCAGTTTGGATGCACATATTGAATAACCACTTTTTTGGCTAACACATGCTCCTTATATAATGGCATCTATTTCTATATGTTTATCCTGACATGGAACACTGAAT